ATGGATTATTCCCTGTTTTCATGACAAAACGATGTAAAACGGCAAACCCTGATTGGAATCAAGGTATTTGAATTGATTTTAATTGCTTGTCTATAATTTTCTTGTATCAAGTATACTAAAATATGCATTTATATAAAGTCACCGACGTCTTTATAAAAGAATTGGATTTTGCAAAACTGACATTCCACATCAAACATTCTGAAGGCAGAACTCCTATTGGTATCTGTATAAGGGATGTGAGGCCTTTATTGGAACAAAGTGACCCTGAAAATATTCCTCTCGACATTGAAGGTCTAACTAACAAACAACTTATTGTCGGTGTGCGGTATTTACCAATGAACTATAAAGTAGACCCTTCGGAGAGCGTAAATAGTAAGCAGGTTTATATGGCTTAATTTATGGATACTTGACGTGCACTACTCCAATTTTTTATTTTTTTTTTTTAAAAAAATAGACATGGGCGCGCTAAGAGTGACTGTAAAAAGTGCAGAGAATTTACCAGCTGCTGACCGTTCTGGTAAATAGGAAGACTTTAATTAATTATAATGAGCTTTTTTAATCAATTAATTAATGTTCTTTCATCGACCAAAGGCACAAGTGACCCTTTTGCCTATATTTATCTAAATGGGGAGAAGATTCATAAAACAAAGCACGTTAAAAAAACTTTGAACCCCGTTTTTGAAAATGAGGATTTCGCAGTAAATGTGGTATGTATCAATCTTTTTTTGAATATTTCTCTAGACTTTATTTAATATTATGTACAATAAATGCTTGTAGCTCTCGCGCACTAGTGACAAATTTCATATTGAAATATGGGATTGGAATAAAGTCGAAATTAGTACTAAACTTGGAACCGGTACACTCGATCTTTCTGACTTGCCAACCTTTGAAAAAGTCGATAGAAGGGTGCAACTGTATGATCCAAAAACTTCAGAGCCTGCTGGCTTTATTAATCTCTCAGTACTTTTCACTCCACAATTTATCACAAAGAAGAAGTTGACTACAGGATCTATAGCTGGTGCAACAAGGACAATCACTAATATAGGCACTGGCATTGGAGGCACTGTAGTTTCTGGTGGGGATACTTTTTTTAGATCAGGTGCGGGCTTTGTAAGCTCCGGAGCTAGCAGCGTCGCTGGTGCCGTTGGTTCTGGATTTGGACTTTTGAAAAAAAAAGATAAAGACGACAAGCTTAAGAATGGTGATTCACTAACTAGAGAAATCGATACTGGGCTTGTAGAGTCACCCATTAATGAAGAAAATGGTATTCTACATTTTATAAACGGCATTATATTGATAACTTAATGATTATTTCTTATACAGATTAAACGCGTGCCAAATCACATTAAAAAACTAAATGATTTATTTTATAGGTGTTAGTGAAAA